TCTCATCCCGGGAAGCACATCTTCTGCGTGGACACTTCGCGTTAACATCTTCTGCCGAGCCATCCGCAGCTTTAGTTGAAAGGCTGAGAAACTAACACACATGTGGATAAACATCTACACAGACACTCCCCCACATGTGGAGACAAACGCACACTGCGAGCGAAAGCGCGCACACACGCGTGTACATATTCACACAAGATGGCATATCACCCACTGTGTCATAACCGCACAGAAACACATGTAGATGCACGGACATACAGAAAAACATACAAACACTCAGAACACCAACCGCTAGACAAACACACACACACACACACACACACAGAGTGTCCCCACCCTGTGGAGAGTCAGAGTCTAATGTTTTCTCCATCTCTGTCCTTAGTTCGTCTCTATTAATCTCACGGCAGCGAGCCATGGACTGGTAAGACGCTCCACATCGCACTGTAATCTTCTCTTAATGTGCTGCACTCTCAGCCTAAGTGAACCCATTTGGAGTGACTGTGAGCAGACTGAGATTCCTCCCATGTTATCTGAACAAGTGTTACTAATGGGTTTATCAATTAGGCCAAGTCCAATAACTGCATGCCTGCAATCTCCTTTAAATACACTCCACCGACGCGGCCCTGATTCCTCTGGTTAATGAGTACATGTGTACACAAGCACCCGTGGGTGTGGGTGTGTGTGTGTGTGTGTGTGTGGGGGGGGGGGGGGGGGATGGACAGTTTGGATCTGTATGTCTGTATTTATGTGTGTATATTTCTGTGTGTGTGTGTGTGTGTGTGTGTAGGTGTGCATGTGTGTGGGTGTGTGTGTATGACTAGTTCACCACTGGACTGGCAAATTGAGAACCCCTTTTTTTTTATTTTTTTGTCTCCAAGCCAATAAAAATAAAAAAGAGGCCAGGAAAACTCAGATGTTTTGTGCATCCCACCCAATATGGGCAAAATAATTATACATTATTATTATAATTATTACTTGTAATAATTACTTGTTGATGATATGTTCCAGTGGACATAAAGATGTAGTGTTCGCTTGTTTATTCAAAATGTATTAATATTGAATGTATCGCGTGTCCAATTTGCACTAACTCCGACTGTGCATGTCCCGATCAATACACCTACCCAGTGTGAAGTAGATCGAACATACAAAGAGACAGAGATTCCTTGCTTTTATGTGCAGAATTAGCTAAAAGCTACCAAGTGACTCTATATGCTTTTTTGTTGTTCAAATGCAAAAACATTAGCGCAGGAGAAGCCCTCCGTGAGGACGAGTGTGTGTAGATCTGTGTGTGTGTTGGTGTGCTCACCTCTGGCACATGACTGTTTGAGTTAAGACCAATTAGAGCAAGTGGATTCACTTTTCCGTGTGCTCTCCCCACTGAGATCACTGGCTGATTACTCCTCCACTCCCCACAGACAACGTTTTATACATTATTTCTCTTATTTGTTGAATGGAGGCGGGAGGAGCGAAAGGGAAGTGAGTCAATGATCAGAGAATGTGTTTGTTTGACTTTTATGCTGTTTAAAGCCCCAAGCTGGAATTAATATTCTGTAGATAACTTAACATATATATGACTTAATATATAATAAATTATTTGCCTTTTTTTTTTGTCCCAAAAAAATGACCCTCACCTTTATCAGTTCCAAGTATAAACCACTGATTTATAAAATGAATCCGTCGTTTTTTAAAATACATTTTAACAATTAGATATATAGATAGAGATATATAGATTATAGATAATAGTTCACCTGATCAGAGCACAGGTGAGTGAGGCTAAGGAGGAGACAATCCATCTTTCCAGACAGCCCAAATAAACAAAGCAGCAAAGGGTAGACAGAAAAATGGACATCTGCAGGTGTAAAAATCCCAGAACATGAGGTGGAAACACCATAAAAAAAAAAGTAGTTCAGCTCCCTCCGAGCAAATGGGACAAACCGGATGGATGAATGGATGAAAGAAACATAAAGTGACAAAGAGGCTGACACGGTGATAAAGTGAACAAACAAACAGTGAGAGACAGAGAGAGGAGCGAAGAATTGATCTGTCCTTATGGTTTGTTGGACAGCCGTCGAGACGAATGGATGGAGACAGATGGAAACACAGACAGACGGGCCAACATAGTGTCAGAGAGACGGATAGAGAGTGACACCATCACACTGTCAGGGTAGCAACACACTGAAGGGTATCCTGACAGCATAGACGACAACACACTGTTCGCTCATTTAGGCACTCTGGCATTTTTGTATCTGCACTGTTTGCTGCGCTGTCAACTATTTCCAGCAAAATAGCCTTTCATATCATATCAGGAATGACAAATATGATTTGTTTCCAGGTCTGAGCAATTTCATTTCAACATCTAGTGATCCGCTCACTTTTTTGTTAAATTAACAGAGAAAAAGATAAAGATTGGAACAAAAGGTTTGAGCGTTTCGCAAAAGACAGAAAAACTGAAGACTGTAGTTGCATGATGAGAAAAGGGAGTTGGAGTTAATATATGAATTAAATATGTAATTTTAAGGATGTGTATCAAATGTACCCTCATCATTAGCTGGAAATACTGTATTTCAGGCAGGTTGTTTGTGATGAATGGGGATCACAGAGGTAAACAAAAAAAAATAGAAAGAAAGAGTACGGCAGAATATATATGAGTGAGTGTGTTTGTGTGAAAAGTGAAGAGACAGAGTGAGACACAGAATGAGCAAGTGTGAGAAACACAGAAAGAGAGAGAGACCCAGAAAGCAATACAGAGACAGACAGAGAGAGCCCGGCTCCATAAAGACGTGAGCAGAATGCTGCTGATCTGAGCGAGAGAGGTGATATATAGTTTAGTCAGCAGCAGCGGGTCACGACAAAGCCTTTAACAGTAATGTCCCGGGAGTCGCCTCGCCCAGGGGACCCGCGCTCCATTTTACAGCCAAGCGACTGAGACCGAGACGCCGCGGCATGACAGCTGGAGCAGTAAAGCCGGCCTCTAGTACCATCCATAACATGAAGGAGGCGTAGACGCCGCTGATACCGCCACAAAACACCAGGCCCGAGGCCACACCGACAGCTGGCGAGTTAAGAGGGAGGAAGAAAAAGGGGGCTTGGGAAATGGCAGGAAGTGGCAGACGAGACAAAGGAGAGAAGAAAAAGGATTGGTGATATATTTGCAGATTTAGATTGAAACAGAAAGAAAGGAGCTAAAGATGATCTACAACAAAAGAGGGACTGAAGGCCCTTTTCACACATGCACCGTAAACCCTGAATGTATCAAGACATTACTCAGAGTAGCTGCACGCGAGAATGCAAATGTAAATAATCAGACAAAGTCTGTAGAATGTCCGATTGAGCCCATGTGTGAGTAAAGCGGGTCATCGTCCGGAGACTTTACAGCGAGCAAGTGGGTGTGTTGATGACGTTTCTATCACGCAGATGGCGGGAAACCAGAAGAATACAAACACCCGAGGGTGAAGAGGAGAGTTCAGTTTTACAAAGACTCCAACGAAAATCTCTAACAGCGAGATTTTGGGGACTTCTGTCGGTACATGCCAACGGCAAAATTGTCGAACAAATTAATTATAACATCAAGAAACTTGATTGTTAATGACCAAATTACGAACCAGCTATATAGTGCTGCAGTGCGCTTAAAGTCCCAGTGAAACGGAAGTTGGAGTGCCTTTAGCTTTGGGCGACTAGCTAGCCACACTGGCCATAAAAAACTGCATACGATCACAGCTTGTGGATCGTATTAGCCTACAGAGCAATATGGCGAGTTATGAAGAGCGGTGTGTTTGGATATCAGCGGGCAAAAACATTGTTTTCATTTCCAAAACAATGTGACTGAGGTGTAATTAGTTCAAGCTAAACTTTTGACGATTTTCAACCAGCTCTGTGTCAATGCAGTGCATGCAGATGAACATCCGCCAGATGGCGCGTTTAGCCGCCGGATGAGCGAGGACTTTGACCGCTGGCGGCTTGGAGGAAGGCCGAGCACTGTTGATCTGTCCGACGCTGCAGTGACACAGAGCCGGGTTTAAAATCGGCAAAGACTCCCATTCATCTCTCACCTCGTCCTCCTACTAAGCCAACAGTCATCTGTAGCTCAGTATCACGCTAAACTATAAGCCCACCCACATTTTAGAGGTCCAATCAAATGCGAAGGATTTGATTTAAACTCTACACTGCTCAAATATTCCATTTCACCGTGACATATGCCTCAGTACAGAATCTAAAGACGCTCTTACTTCCGCTTCACTTATTCTTGAACATAACAAATAGAGAGGAGGGTAAACGCTAACATACGAGGTCAAATTCAAAGTTGCAAGATGCATGGTTTCAAGGAAAGAATTATGTACTGAAATGATTGGCAGAAATGTTTTGAATATTGAGTAATTGAATAAGCCATGTACTGTATAAAGCAATTATTATAAAACATTGTCTCCCTCACACACATTGTCCTTTTCGGTTTTGGTCTGTGAGTTGGATAAAACAATCTATTTGAAGACCTCTCTTAAGGCCCAGGGGAACAATTTATTCATTTAATACTCAAAACAATTCATTGATAATCGCAAATCCAACGATGAACTGAAAAGGTAAATCTGCCGGATGGATTTACAGCCGACAGAGGAGGAGGTTACTGTGCTTCCAGACCAAACAGAGTGGAGGATTTCACAAGCATATTAAAGGCAGAACACGGCTGGTGGGAAAATAGCTTAACATAGCAGTCTTCTTCAGAGAAGACAAAGACAAGGTGTTGAGGAGCGACGTGGGTGAAAATAGCAACAACTGTTCTGTAAAGAAAAGCACTGGGTGGGGGGGGATATGGGTAATGTGGTCCTAACAACACGTGACAAGAAATCAAACACAACAGGGCTGGGGACTGAAGCGCCTCACACGGTAAGCATACACATTGCTTGAGTGTCCTTGTGCAACTCTCCGAGTCCCGACAAAAATCAATACGGTATCACATTCACTGTTGTAGTATTACTGGTGTGCACTGGGCAGAGACAGACACTTACTTCACTTCTAACGTAAGAGCCAGGATCCCTGCAGCGATCGGACCAGCACTGGATGTTCCTGGAAAGTGTGTGACACAGCCGTCGTCGATGTTGGTCACAGTGACCTGGAGGGACAACAAACTGAATGTGTCACAAGATGCAGCTTCGTGGATGTCATATATCGGTACGTAGAGTGAAAACAATGTGAGCTGTTTTGTCTAAATGGATTTCTGGGTGAGGTTTTTAGGAAAAAGTATGCAGCAAATCGGGCCAGGAGGGGTCCCACACTGTATTAACCATTAGAACACAGTTTTTCAGCGGTAACAATTTAAAAAAAACACGTCTGGTCTGACCACCTCCTAATGAGAGGTGGGAAAGGGAAGGCATAAAGGTGACATCACACTGATGAAATTGTCTGTTTCCGGCTGTCTTGTTTCTTCCTGACTTTTCACTGTTACCTCTGCCATCAACACCTCAGCTTCTTCCTCTCCCTCTCCCCAGCCACTACAGCCATGCTTTACCTCCAATTAACACTCGTTTGCTTCAGTGTGTCTGCGTGTGTGTGTGTGTGTGTGTGTGCGCAGCCCAGCAGTCAGCTAGGTCATTTGGCAGGCCTCTATAAATATCACACCAGTCGCTGCTCTTTAACAGGCTTCTCACAGCTCGCAGGAGCCAAAGAGCAGGGGCTGCTGACATGCACACATACACACACACACACATATATACGCACTCATTAATGATAAAGACTGTTGTTAGATGTATTAGGCGGTACATGCACACTAACCAGAGGTAGTGAGCCTCCCACGCCGGACTCTGTCAGAGTGACGGCCATCACACCGGGGCAGGGCTCGCCGAAGGAGGCGGGCCTCCCTGTTTGAGAGACGGCGCCGATGGCGATGTTGTAGATGGAGTTGACGTAGCCGTCTGCACCGCAGTGGTCGCGGTGCATTCCGCCATTACCTGCCGCCCACACAAAGATGCTGCCCTTTCCACCTCGTCCCTGAAAACGCAAACAAAGGGACGTGAAACTGAAAGGGCGAGTAAAAAAAAAAAGGTGGATTTCATAAAGACTGTTTCCATCGAGCGGTCAGCAGAGCATTGTGAATATCACATATGGAAATATATATTGCACACTCATAGGGAGGAAAAGTAGGATACCTGAGTGTCGAAAAAATTCATCAATTAAACACAATTCAAATTTGAGAGAGCATTTCTGTTTTTTGACACAAATATTTGTGTTTTTGTTAATGATGGTAACTTTTTACCCTTTTTATGTAATGATGAAAACGTGTGTGGATAGCTATGGTTCAACCAAGTGCATATTAGAGAACGTGGTGTTTTTTAAGTTAGGTTTTGTTTATAGTTGTATTGATATGCAGAAATCTATTCATTTCATTTATGTATATATTCATATGTGGGAGCACTACTATTTCTTTTTTTTTTGTTTTAACTCACAAGCACAAATAACATAAATCAAACCAAAGTGAACTAAAGCTACAAGGCCCATATCGCAATAGCTGAAAAAAAAAAAAAAAAAGAGAAATTCCAGAGGTCAGATTTGGAATACATTTAAACATGGACGGATAATAAGAAGGGCCGCTGGGCTCAGAAACGTAAGAGATGACTTTGAAAGTCAACTGAGAAATGATTATAAGTGTCACTTCAAAGTCAGGTACTTCAGGGGGGTGTTGGGACCCTTTGAACCCTTGGCCCAGGGCTCCCTCCATAATCCATGCATTGTATCTCAAAACACCCAAACAAGTTCATGCAATTGGAGAGAGCACCCAAAGACTGGTGGAAAGAAGGATCAATATTAAATATTTCTAAATCCCCCTCTAATCTCAAACACAGTCACTACACACATCCGTCTACATAATTCCAACCCTCGACATTTTGTCCTTCCGAGCTGAGCTCCACTGACAGTGTGGATGTCTGCTTTACATCTGACACACAGCAGTGTGAACCCGGATATGAAAGCCGTGCCTTGTGGGCTCCTAGCCGAAGGGCGCGCGCTGTCAGGCTGTGCGGCCCGTCCATTGTGGCCCCGTCGTCTCGCGGGCCCCAGCTGCAGACGTAGATGTCGATGAAGTGGATGTTGAAGGTCAGAGCTGTGGCCTCCATGGCATCGGTGACAGGGCCGTACAACAAGCGGATACCTGGACGGATCGGAAAGGTCACACGGATCAGAGTTCAGAGAGAGGCTTGTGGAAAAAAAAAATATATGAAATGACACTCAAAAAAACGTACTGACAACATTTTGCTTTCTGATGCTGCTTCAAAACAGACACAAAGATAGTGTTTTTAAATTGTAAGAGTTAAGATGAAAAGTTAATACAGTAACAGAGCTGTGACGCAATACTTGTGAGCACACTGAGTGTGCTCCCCATAGGCAAAAGCTTGAGGAGCCTAAACGTCTCATAAAGTGACTATATGGTTAAAGGAACCTTACCAATTTTCATAACATCATTTTCATATAGGCCCATGATACATGGGGGCGGCAACACTGCTTGCAATACTGGCAATATGACCGGGGCCATGGCAGCATAGGTTGCCATGCGATGTTATATTTTGCCATGAGTAGATTAACCGAATGACTACAGTGAGAGAAAGCTGAGGTTAGTATCGTCTTCTATTCACCTCCAGGGAGCCTAGAGGGCGACACACCGACTTAGTGTGCTTATCAAAGTGGAGAATTGCAGCCAAAATAGCATCCCAATAAGCAACATGGTTGGAATAATGGATTGCGTCACATTATGTAACATTTTGACAGTCCACTCCGGAAGAATTGTAACACAAAAACGCAGTGGTTCAGGTTTAAGCCAAAAGTGTGTGACTTGCGCTCCAGTTTCCAACAGATTGACTGTTTTATAGTTCTGATGGCAAAGTGCAATCAAAAGAAACCGATCCCAAAAGGAACGCATGGTAGTTAATTACAGATTTAAGTTTAATCTCTATGCTTCTATATGGCCAGCAATAACAACAAATTGTTTGTAGTAATTACACTTGCAATAACTCATTTTTAGGCCCCTTGCTGTAAACACAACATTGAAGTATTGAATCCCCTATTTAAGGTGATATGGCGAACTGGATAGCAAAAAGTTGTACATTTACACAGATATAGAACAACATTAGTATTCATTTGTAGTAGTGCTGTCACATAGCAGCTTTTATTTAAAAAAGATATCAGTCAAATCCATCTTTAACTTTGTTTTTTGCGTTTTTGTTTGATGACATATTGTCCAAGGAAGGATTTTTAAAAATAATACCATTTTAAGACACTCTAATGCCACTGAAATAATTACAATATGAAAACATAATAATGCAACAAAGAGCAATGGGCCTTTAATTCTTAAGAAAATGGCATTGAAATGTGAGTATTTTAAATAAATAATGTAAAACCACACAACCAAAACAATGAATAAAATGGACTCACAGGCTCTTTTAATAAAAATGTGATATGACTGTTTTGTTCGTATGCCCTTTGACGTTTCGGAGAATACTGCAACTAACAACGCATTGTTTGTCACATATATAAGAGAAGTCATGTGATCCATTATAAATAATAGTGATTTTAGCCATTTAAAGACTCCTTAACATGGCAATGCAAAACATTTTCACATCTGTGTTACATCCAGTTCAAATTTCCTTTTTCTAAAGACAAGACAGAGAATTCATGAGGTGTTTCACTTTAAATGTAATTGTGACTTTTCACTGAAGGACATTTTTGAGTATGAGTGTATTGTAAAAAAAAAAAAGTGTATCTCTTCTTCTAATTGTCTTAATATAATCTGCAATGCATCAAAATTTATTTCAAATAAAAAGAAAACAGCTTCATCAGGCTTAATTTGTCTTCTTTCTGTTGATTCATCACCTTCACGTATTGGTTGTATACTTAAAACAACATCACATCTAACAGGAACACATGCATTCACTGAGCATTTCGAGAGCGTTTGCTGAACAGCAGCACACAGAAAGCTCAGTCAGTCCTCGTCTACACACTACGAGCACAGGTCTCATCAGCACCCAGTAGATCGACATGCATCTTTTATTCGGGTCTTGCCCCCTAATCTCCTGTGTGTCAGACTCTGTTTATGAGTCGGGATGAAATAGACTCTGCAAGGTGAAATTAAGACCAACTTTGGAAAGATATTCCTGGTCTTGCCTCACAAAAAAACAAAAAAAATCTCTTTTAGTCAATTATGCAAGAGGCTCTCATCGGCCCCTCTGACAAATGAGGAAGGGCCAAGGGGTTAAAGGTCGCAGAGAGGAGTTTGAATGTCAGAGTTCAACGGAGGGATTCTTCCATGTTTCGTGCTGTTGACACCACTGTATGGGCATCTGTACGGTCGCGTTCAGCCAATTTTCTTTTACTCAAATATATCGTGTACTCCTCATTAACTTGTGGGTGATAGCACTCTTAGAGAATCCTATAAAAATCTTTGATTTCATAACAGAAAATGGGCCATCTTGTGTATTCGGTTCAGTCATCCCTCGCCAATGTTACATCCAACACTAAAAAAGCCATTACTGAAGCTCCCACTAAAAAATGAGCTGTTAAATAGGGTCAGCACGGCTCAATAGCAGCCAGTCACCGTGTCGCCTGTTGCTGCCACACACACTCAAAGCACATGGAATAAATGGCATAGTCTCACATACTCTTTTTCTTTTTCAAGAAGTATTTAGCATGACTTAAAACCAAAACTTCCTCTAGACGATTAAACAGACATGTGACTTCACAGTTGATGAGACTATTTGCAGCTGTAATTCGGCACCACAGACAGAATTGACTAAGAGGCTACCGGAAGACAAAAAAAACAGCAAATATTTTTTGCCAAATGTTAAAATGCTTTTTTCTTTAGACTAGTCATCACTGTAGAGTGTGGCCCAAAAAACGTTTTCTGTGGGAAAGTTTAATATGGCCGGGTTCAAGGCATCCTGTCACAATTTATATCCTACAGGAATTGAAAAGTGATGAATTAATATGTCAATCTGCCTCCGTAATTTAAAGATGTTTTGCATCAATGCAGAAAGCCAAAAAAACAAATCTGCCTTGTTGATGTCGAAGAAAATGTTCATGTTAAGCTTCCGATGTCCAGATTGTAGTTGCTTTTTAGTATTTTTGTAGTATACTCTAAATGGGAATAAGAGATTTTTCTATTGTATTTTTGCATTATCACATGATAGAGACTACTTTATAAGAGAGTACTGACCCACAAGCGTTTTTTGAAAATGCCATGTCATAGTATTGGCCACTGCAGTACACCCACTATGCTCTGCCTCCCACTGTCTTGATGAGGCTGTATTGTTTTGCTCACCTCCGATCCTGGCATTGAAGGCGATGCCCACACCGCAGTAGGAGTTGTTGGCCTCCATGGCAACTTCCCCTGCACATCGGGTACCGTGACTGAAACACAGGGGGGATGAGGTGTTAGCCACGCATTGAGACTGGATATGCAGATGTGAGTTTTTACAGATGTGATGACCTGAGCCCACCCCAAATTAAGCCGGGCCAGAAAATTACATAGAGTTATTGAAATTATCAATAATTTCTCTTTGATTTCAGACAGAGGCAGACAAAAGTTTATTTTGTTTCCATGTTTAATCATCTACTGCAGGGGTTACTAATAGGCGGACCGCGGTCCGGATCCGGACCCAGACGCCGTTGTAAAGGACCTAAAACCGATTTTGACGGAGCACTTGTAGTTTAACCGGCGCAGCTTTTCTAGCATTTACGTGAGTCAGAAGTTATTTCACATGATGTTCTCCTAAAAGAGAAAAGTGGTCAGAGAGACCCGAGAGACCAGAGTCTTTAACCAAAAATGGACAGACTCATTTAGGTTAATTCTTCCCACAGACCGTTTAAAAACAGTATGTCTCATTTTGAGCAAACGTACCCACTCACAAAATTGACAAAATGAAGACAGAAAATAAACCTAAGAGCCCAATATGATCAGAACCCTAACACATGAATTCACTGTCCAATGATGTTAACAGAGAGAATAGAGCTGAAACAAGTGTTAATAACCACAGATAAAGTCCATGCTCACTGATTTCTCTTGTTAGAAGATGAGAAAAATATAATATCGTGGCTTTTTTGATTGACATCACTTCACACCCGAATGAACTGAATTTAAAGCTGCATTCAGTGAAATTGATTTTTCTAAAATTAACTTTATTTTAAGATGCACATTCTTCAAAAGCTTTCTGTTATGTCAGTTATTCTTTAATCCAGCCATTATTTTACTTGAAATGAGAAGAACATGTATTTATGTATTTCTATGTATTATTTATAATCCATCCAGTTAAATTTGAAAACTGAGAATAATAATTGTTAAAATATAATTGATGTGTACTTTCTTTATTTGATTTGACAGTTGTTGACTACACAGAGATGTTACTACTACTAGGCTTCTTGAATATATATATATATATATATATATATATATGGCACTAAATAGCGCAAGTTAGATATTATTGTAATGTTCCGGACCTTTGCACGAGGAAATTTTCTCAATATGGACCTTTTGGAATTTTAATTGACTACCCCTGATCTACTGTATAGCTATGTAGTCAAGCTAAAGATATATCAATGAACTGACTGAAGTTTTTGATTGTGGGCCATAGACGGGATGATATAAGGAGTCACGGGCCAAACAACAGGAAATGCGTAGTATTTAACTACGCATTTCCTGAATGCGTAGTTACACTGCAAGAAAATCAGTGTTTCAAGAGAACTCCATGTGCCAGTGTACAAAGCGTGGGACTGATGTTCTGGCATTATCCTCTTACATCACCGGAACAGATTCCCTGCAAACTAAGCGAACACAATTCCCCTTGACTATATTACATTTCCAGCCCTCCCTCGCTATCTCCCGTCTTTTCCATTCGGAAATAACTGTTTTCATCATAGCAGCAGTAATCAATTTAAGTCCAGTATTTATTCAAAATGGCACCGACATCTAGTGTTAAAAGTAAGAAGTGTACGTAAAGTGTGATGTATTGATATGCTCAAGCCTTATTCTAGCTGATTCACCACAGGCCATTTAAAACTTACAGCGGGCAGCAGTTGGCCCGCAGGTCGTAGTTTGGCCACAGTAACACTTTTGCTAATTATTATCCTTACATAACACTGTTTGACTGCTTAGCTTAGCATGCTTAGACAAACAAGACATATTAGATTTGTGTTCTTTTGTAAATATTTTTAAATGTTATGTTTTACTTTTTATGTTACAGGAGAAAAGGCTTTGAGGTTGAGAACAACTACATCTAAATTTGTGATTTGTGATATTATACAAATACAATTTAAGTTAATTTAATCAGCAGTTTAAAACATTTTAACCTTTAACCCCACATTGGAATGCTTATGGCCTAGTGCTGGGTTAGGTTACTACTGTAAGAGTAACCTTGGATATGCAAATTTTTGCATCTTACAATAGGGAACACAAATAGACTGTTTACTCCATTTCTTTCTCTCTCGGGTTTTTGGTGTTTAGACCGTTAATGTACTCCCCCCCCTCCCCCCCCCAAAAAAAAAACACAGGACGACAGTCATTACCTATTATCCTTGTCTCTAACTGGCATGGGATCATGTGACAGGCCGTGTGAAGCAAGCAGGTCAAAACTGGCGAGGGCCTCCTGTAATCGACACAGAAAACAAAGGGAACACAGAGCAACACTTGAAACAAAACATCACAGTGACATGACAGGAAATAAAGGAATCCCATGAAAAACTGGCACTTGAATTAGTCTGTCAACATGTTTCCCTCCTGACTGACGGGAATCACAGTCACAGAGAAGATGCCTGTGACTGTGTGTGCGTGGTTTATGCGTGCCTCATAAAAAGTGAGCATGTTTGAATGACTTGTTTGCCAGTGTATATAGGCATAACGGCAGGAGGATGTCTTGGCAGCGCCGTACAAGAGCAATTATGTATCTCTCTCCAGCCAGGCTTATCCATGCCAGACAATCTGCTCTGACAAAGTACAAGTTGGCCTGTGTGCTTCAAACTGCCTATAGGATTATAGATGACAAGGCAGGAGCAAACAGCACTGCCACTCCACATATGCTTTATGGCGAGCCCGTGTAACACCAGCCTAACGAAATAAAACAGGTTTATCTCTATATGAACGTTTTATTGTCTCAGCTTTTAAGTAATAGAGAGGTTGGGCACTTTAAGAGAACGTCAATACACAGATTTCAGTCTAATGAAAATCCAAGCATGTTTGCGTAACCAAACAGCAGCGATGGAAAACTGTAACCTCATAACAATATTACAGAATCAGAAATTACATTGCACAGGCATCCTTGAGATCTGCTGTACTTGAGATCACTAGAAGCATTTTACTGCCCAGCTTAAATTCAATTTGGTAGAGATCAGTTATTGTTCAAAAATAAAATCTCATTTTAAGTTTACTTACAAAGTTTTTCTCCAGGTCCTTGTTTGTGTGATCAACACCTGAAAATGACCACAAAAAAAAAAGATTGTTATAAATGAGACAAAACTGTGATCTGGGTCGTTGTTACTGGGAGGAGACGTTTGATGCCCTCAGGACAAAAAAGTTTAAAAAAGATCAGTGCCACATTTTTAACGTTTCAGTGCAATCAGACCATAAGTGCACTCATTGTTTCCATATTTTCCGTGGTCATGTAAGAGCTGTGTCAAGTCATTTGAAGTTGGTGGACAGGTTATTAACACTTTTAAATTGTGAGTACCCTACTAATTGGTGTAATTATTTTGCCAAGATGTAACGGTGACATCTTTTCAAGTTTTGTCAAAATCTAGGTTTTGCTGTGTGAGGCATTGCACATGACGGATGATTGAGTGAATGAACAATACTCTCTTTTAATGCATTCATTTTTCCACTTTTATTTCATTTTTTGATATTTCCTTTACGTGTACACCTTCTCCTCTGTCTTTTTTTCAATCATCCTCTCTTTCCACATCAGTTGCTTTTCTTACACTTGCCCCATCGCTGTCCTTCTCTCCCCAACCACCACCACCACCACCACCTCCACCTCCCTCCATCCTCTGCTGCATCAGGGCTCCTGTGGCCTCAGCGAGAGACAAACGAATGAGGGCCCCAGGAGGGCCGCGCCTGCTCTGCCAGACATCACTCACTCTCTCAATCACTCACACACACACACACACACACACACACACACACACACACACAGAGGACCTGCCAGCCTTTGTCCCATGCAGGCAGTGCCTCCGGGTTGTCATGGTAACCAGCAGTGGGTTTTGCCGTCGAGGCCTGATTGTGTTGAGCTCTGGTGGGATGGAGCCCTGGGTGGGTGAAGCCTCATTGGAGCCTGCCATGCCGTGCCATTTGATGCCAGGTCAGCCTGTCTCTACAGAACCACTGATGCTTGTTTCTCTCCTCGTCCAGCACTTTGGATCTTCTTCAGACACACTTCACGCACGTTGAAGTTGCATTCTTTCAACCGCTTTCAACAACATCTCATGGTCTCCATCTACTGATACGCAGTTCAGAGTTAGAATTCATTGTGTCATTATGTCATTGTGTTTATAGTAACTGGAGATTGGTACAAGACAAATGGATGACCAGTTGATGCTGAGCGTTTTAATAGTGTCTTTAGTTTCTTATTCTCAAGGGACCAAGAGAAAGAGCTTTCTGGCCAACTTTCCTCCTTGCCTGAGCCAAGTTGGATTTCGACACTGAACACAAGGCCAAGTGAGGACGCTGAGCAGGTTTTTTGCATGCTTTTGATTTAAAGAGGTGCACTGAGTGATGCCGCACTACGGGCCAACATGATGTCTTCATATGGAATTCAAGTGATTCATTAACGAGTTATGAAATGTAAGATATCTTTTGCAAATCCCCCCTCAGGCTGATCTGATCTCCTTTATAATCTTCCAACTTTATCATCAGTTAAATCAGGAGACTTTCTCATATCCTCTGCTCCAACTCCATCTCTTTTGATCCAATATTGGTCTTTTTCAGGTTACAACCACGAAGCTACAATTCTCTATGATCCTGTTTGTTACTTTCCATGTGGTCCATAAGTGACCATTATCTTTAAAACTATAAACAAAATGTCACTGAAGATAATTGGTTCATTGGTTGGTCAATTTGTTGATTGGTTGAAGAGACAGCTCATACGATTTACAAACTATTACCACATTGTGGTGTTATGCCTCTGCCTAAGTTGCAGTTTTGATCCATGTCTGTCCAAAATGTAATCATTTTGTCATATTAGATGTTTGTGTGAAATTGTCATAATTAGCACATGAATTCTTGAGTTATAACCAATAACGTGTTTTGTGAGGTCACAGTGACCATTGACCACCAAAATCTAATCAGTTCATCCTTGTGTCCAGGTGGACGTTTAAGCCAAATTTTAAGAAATTCCCTCAAGGTGTTTCTGAGAAATTGCGTTTACGAGAATGGTGCAGACATGAGGTCACAGTAACCTTGACCTTTGACCACCAAAATCAAATCACTTCATCCTGTACTACTGGTGGACGTATATGAACGCACGGACAACCAGAAAACCTAATGCCTCCGGCCAAGTCTGGCGCTGGCGCAGAGGCATTAGTTAGTTAAAACTAACTGAATGGTTAGATACACCTAAGGATAAGTGAGGACATTTTGGTGAAGCAACACTTTAATCCCAAGTTCATATCACAGTGAACAGCAGTGTAAGCAAACTTTATCACAAATTAGAGAGAGCTTTTAAAGCTTTTAAAGGAAAGTGATAAAACCTGAATATGGGACCAAGTCTCCTCTTGATATGGACATATCTTGCTGTCTAGATGAGCTTCCCCCAGTACATGAATGCAGCTCTAAAACAGTGGATCTCTGGTGTGTCGTGAAAATAATTGCTTGCCTGCAGGAGGCACAGAAACCTGCTTTATTAAGAGTTCATCTTTGCTTCAACTCGATTATCGAAAGACACCTTGTGAATTGTGTGTGTGTGTGTGTGTGTACTAACATAATACAAAGACCACCACACAGAGTCACCTCAGCGTTTAAAAGGTGACAACATCTCGTCTTCAAGTTTGTGATGGAGACATCTTTGGGAATTAACGCCAAGCTGATCAGGAGGGAACAAGTAAGTGAGCAAAGGATGGAGGGAGGAAGAGGAGAATGAAGAGGTAACTGAGGGAGGGCAAGGACGCCCCCCTTAGACTGAGAGTGTGTCACTCTGGGACTGTAAATCTGAGTGTGTGACACCAGTAACAATGAAAAAGGATTTGGGGTGTTGATAAACACTGTGACAATAGGCAAGGGCGTAAGGCAGTTTTTTACATGCCACGTTTCATACCCTGTGTCTTATATGATTTAAACAAACATTGGACACATTCAAATAAGATGAATAAGTGGTAAATTAAAAAAACAATGCAAGAAGAAAAGTTCAACAACAGGCGGCAGAGAAAAGGTAGGTTAGTTTGGGAACTGGTCACATCAAAATTAAAAGTACGTGTAGCAGAGTGACAAGATGCAGCTTCCTCGTGTCAAAAGACCTCTGTGTCCTAGAGGAGTCATACAGAGAAAACATGTCAGAGACATCATTTAGTTGGTCCTAGTCCAGTGAGTGATTTGCGGACCAATAGCAGTATTTTTAAACAGATTTTTTTAGGACTTAATGGTAACCAATGGAACTTTAGAATGACTCTGATATGTTTGTTTTGTCTAGAAGTCAGGCCACTGCATTGTGTACAAGTTGTAGCTGCCTAAAAGCTTTGACAGACCTGAGAAAAGAGCGGTGCAATAGTCCAACCTGCTTGAGATAAAGGTATAGATTTACTTTTCAATATTGTGTTTGGACACAAGTCCCCTAACCCAAATAATATGTTCTAGATGATGAAAGGCTGATGCTTGAACTAAACGAAATGAATATGAATGCTAAAATTTAGATCTGAGTCCTAGAGGACATCCAAATGTCTTGATTTACTCACAGATTTACAGTTAAAGAGTTGGGATGTGAAATGGTTGTCTGTCTTTCATTATGGGTGCCAAATACATTTACCTCAGGTTTGTCTCTATTTAGGATGACAACATTTTGGCATATCAAGTCATTCATATGCTAAATGAGCTGATTTGAGTGTGTCAATGGGACCATAGTCCTCCCGTAAAAAAGAAATGAAGATTTAAGTATTGTCTGCATACGTATTGGAATTAATTTTTTTGCGTTATGGGCTGAAGAGAAAGGGGCTAAGTCCTCCACAGGCAATGGGGAAGTAAGATTGCCTATTAAAAATAAAACCCCAAAAATAATCACCATAACAAGATAGTACCCAAGAGCCTGACCCAGTTTTCCAACAATGTGTTCAACTGTGTCAAAACCAGAGGTGAGATCTAAAATGACCAGAATAGACATTTTGCCTGAAGCAGTGTTCATTCGTAAGTCCTTTAGGACCGAAATGAGAGGCTGTTTCAGTGCAACAATTTGGCAAAATCTTTATCAATTTAGATACAGTTCTGACAAAGTTGTTGGTAAACAATTTGCTCAATTATTTATCCTATGAAAGATACGTTTGATATGGCTCTGTAGTTGTTATATGACATCTCTGCCGCTGGCAGATCTCAATGGCTTGGCACCTACGTACATCTGCCCGTGCATGCTTCTCTGCAGCAGACAGATGTGTATTTGGATAAGGATTGACATGCGCACAGTATGGGCACATGTATGCTCCAGGTGGTGTGTCACAAGGGTCAATCTGAGCATAAAAAAACTGCACCTTCAAGTATTTGCTAGGATGATCCGAGTGGAAAAATGCATTCAGTCAGGTGCATTCACTCAGGTGGCACCATGCTGCCATAAATACAGCCATAAACGCACTCCAACACAGTCCAAGGTCTTCTGAGTGTGAAAGTAGAAAGCCACGTCCCACAGTTAGATGAAACACTGTAGGTGGTGGAGCCAATGCAAAACCTTCCATGAATACAAATGCTTTGAACCTGGCTGACCCAGTCTAGATTGTGATTGTGCGGGTGTGTGCGTGTGGCCGTTTGCTGCTCTGCATGTGTGTCAGCATTCAGCGGCAGCAGCTGCACTCTATCTCCGTGCTCCTGCAGCATTCACGCCGGTCCTCAGGGTCAAACGCACACACAAATCAGCCATGGAGATGTGTCGGAGGCCATTTTGAGCCGACGGTGAGTCGTGCCTGAGCCGCCGCTGAGACAATGAGCCGACATCACTTCAGAGGAGGCCCCCGCTACACCTGTGCCCCCCCCCCCCGGCTGGCTCTCGCCATTACCTCTCCTCAAAGTGAGTTACTGTACAACAAAAAATATATAGCAATAACCAGTAGCAGGCTGCCTTTGCTACTGATTGGAGTAGGAGAAGGGAGGAGGTAAGCCGTACAAAATGCTACCAATATTTCAGCATTTGAAGCTGCACATGGCTTATAATTTGCATTTTTAAGTGTGAAAAAGTAAAGTAAAGGTGGCTAGATGTGTGTGCGTGTGCGTGTGTGTGTGTGTGTAT